GCGAGCGGGGAGGAGGAGGTTGGCATTGTCAGTAAATCATAGAGGACTGTGATAATACCGCGTCCACTTTTGGTCTGCAAAGCCCAATAGGCCCCACATGGCTACCGGGTCCCCTAAACCTCACATTGCTGAAGGCTCCAGTGGTGCCTGTCCCCTGCCCCCAGTGTGGCTCCAGCACTGGCTGTGCCCCACACATCACCTTGGACCCCTGCACGCTCATGCAGACTCGGTCATCGCTGCTGGCTGGGCTCATGCCCTTCTGGATGGTGGGAATTACCTTGCTCCCTTGAACAACAGAGCTGTGTGCAGGCCCTGACACTGGTGCCACAGCAGCCATCCAGTGACATTGCCCAGCAAGAGAACGATGACCAGCAGGGAAAGTGCCAAGAGACACAGCAGCCTGGCTGGACCCTGAGACCCGGGAGGATAGGCACAGGGTCTGCCCAGCGTGGCCCCGCCCTCTGCGTAGGAGCCTGCTGTGCCTGGGCCGGCTCCGGGCTCACTCAGGGTCTGAGTGCATGGTGCCTGGACTCAGAGGCACTGGGGATGTGACAGGACTTGCTGCCCACTTGTTTACAGCTTGAACCGACCTGTCCGAGGAGGGCTGGGGGACTCTTCCTTGGATGAAAACGTATCTTTTTGGGTTTATTCTGGCTGATGACACTCAATCATTCACTCAAGAGATACTGGGTGAGTGTTGACCCTGCACCAGATGCTGGCATAGGTGCTGGGGTGAGGCAGGAACTAGAGTGCCCTGCCTTGTAAGAGAAGTGTGAGTGCTGAGGAAAAGAATACCACGGCCGTGGCAGAGCAGCGTGCCAGCACCGTTCATCCTCCTGGGGTGGTGTCAGGCCCGGCTGGGAGGAGCCATGGGGCGTTGGCGACAGGCAGGGAATGACCCTCGCCTTCCCCGCCCAGGTTGCCAACGTGGAGCTCTACTACAGAGCCCTGCAGTTCTATCTGGATTACAAACCACTTCTCGTCAATGACCTGCTGGTGGTGCTGTCACCCCGGCTGGACCACACTCGGACGGTCAATTTCTTTTCGAAGGTGAGTCAGCCAAACCCCAGGCCCAGAGAATAGTGTGTCACTCTGCCCCAGTCATCTGAATGTAGCACCTTTATAAACAGTTTCTGAAATGACCCCCCAACCAGTTTCAAAGTTTAATTTATCGAACGGTTTCAGATACAGGCATACCTTGTTTTGTTGCACTTTGCTTTATTGCGCTACTCAGATGCTGCATTTTTTACAGATCGAAGGTTTATGGCAACCCTGTGTCAAGCAAGTCTGTTGGCGTTATTTTTCCAACAGCATGTGCTTACTTCCTGTCTGCCGTAGTTTGGTAATTCTTGCAATATTTCAAACTTTTTCATTATTATTATATCTGTTATGCTGCTTTGTGATCAGTGATCTTTGATGTTACTATCTTAATTGTTTTGGGGCACCACAAACCACACCCATATAAGACAGTGAACTTAATCGATACATGTGCTGTTCCCCTTCCCTGTCCCTGTCCTGAGGCCTCCCTTTTACCTGAGACACGACAATATTCAAATTAAGCCAATTAATAACCCTACAGTGACCTCCAAGTATTCAAGTAAAAGGAGTCAAAAGCTAGAAACTGATTAGGCCTAGTAAGGAAGGCATATTGAAAGCTGAGATAGGCCAAAAGCCAGGCCTCCTGCACCAAACAGCCAAGTTGTGAATAAAGGAGAAGTTCTTGAAGGAATTAAAGGTGCCACTCCAGTGAACACACAAATTTTAAGAAAGCCAAACAGCCTTATTGCTGATACGGAGAAAGTTTGAGTGGTCTGGACAGAAGATCCAACCAGCCACAGCATTCCCTTAAGCCAAAGTCTAACCTAGAGCAAGAAGGCCCTGACTCTTCAGTTCTGTGAAGGCTGAGAGACGTGAGGAAGCTGCAGAAGAAAAGTTTGAAGCTGGCAGAGGCTGGTCCATGAGGTTTGAGGAAAGAAGCCGTCTCCATAACACAAAAGTGCAAAGTGAAGCAGCAAGTGCTAGGACAGAAGCTGCAGCAAGTTATCCAGAAGACCTACCTAAGATCGTTGATGAAGTCGGCTGCACTAAACAACTAATTTTCAATGTAGACAAAACAGCTTCTATTGGAAGAAGATGCCATCTAGGACTTTCATAGCTGGAGAGGGGAAGTCAATGCCTGGC